TTTACCGGTTAATAGTTTCAAGAATAGTGAGTCAAGCCTTCTTGTTCACAGACAATTTATTGCACTCATCATCATCATCAACAGCCTATAAATGCCCACTGCTGAGCAGAACCTCTTCGCACACGGAGAAGGTTTGAGCATTAATCACCACGCATGCTCAATGCGAATTGGCGATTACTTATAATTAGAAATTATAAGCCCAGGTTTCCTCACGATGTTTTCCTTCACCGTTTGTCAGGGGTGTCTAGATAATCTTAGAAAGTACATATAATTTGGGAAAAGTCACATTGGTACTTGCTGTTGGTTGATGTTGGTATTTATTGCACTACTTACGGAAAATTTTAAATTGGAAGTCCCAATAACACTTTGAGCAGGCACATAATATGGCCTTTACTTTGTTACGATGTCGATGGTTCATAAAAAATACTATACATAACGATAGTAGTTTACACCAAATCTAACTATAATATTTACTATTCCATTATGTTAAAATTATAAAAACTGTCTATTTGAATGCGTACCCTTTGTACTCCAGTGCTGGTAGCAATGGACCTCAGCACACACGGCATTATCTGGGGATTCAGGACAAGCCCCCGTGAGGCATGCTGGTCGAACCATACCTGGAAAATAGGAAACAATTTAAACTGTACCTTACATCCATACACTAAGGGTACTTTATGGCAGTAACATTCCATTATTTGATGTATGTACAATATTTTTATGTGCTCAAAGTGATTTATCTATTTTGAATACGGAAAGAAACTGTGGAATGGTACGGTTTAGGTCTGTGATGTATTAAATTGATCACACGAAGATTTATTTTGCAAATTAAATATTATATAGTGTGGGATGTATTGTAAATGATCATTAAATTTAATTAAAACATAATTAAATTATGCACTGATGACCGCCACTAAGAATCATTTAAAACTAAGAACTGTCATTATGTAAAAATGGCGCACAAAACATTGTGATAAACATTGGTGTTTTCATATGATTAGTTCATCATTACATACTTTCTTTTAAATAATCGTCACACCGCAAAAATATCTCTTAGTAAGCAAGAAATATACCTGGAATAATGCTTCGATGTCCTCTGGTCTCTTGATTTCACTCTTGAATTCAACATTACCCAAACTGACCCACCAATCAAAGAATTCGTTGGAAATCTGAAATAGAATATGTTTTAGACATTAATTACCACCCATTGTCTATTAGACGATTTTGCCAATAGGTACACGGGGAGGAAATCGATTGATAATAAAAATTGGGATATTGACGGGGTATGAAAATTAAAAATCTAATTAGTCCGTAAGTTAGGTATTAAAAAAATATTAGACGCGTATTTTTTTATTTTGTTGTTTAATAAAATAATACTTAGATAAAACAAATGAAAGTTTAGAAGTGGGGCTAAAACGTCATATCTACGTATAAAATGTACATTAAAGTGACTTCACGTGACATTTCAAATCAATATATCGTCGAAAGTATTCGTTTATCTTACTGCCTGACCGAGTGGTCGCAAGTGCGACTGCCGGGCAAGAGGTCTCGGGTTCGATTCCCGGATCGGGCAAAGTATAACAAAGTTTTTTTTTTAAATCTCAGTAGTAGCACGAAGTCTGGAATTGGGCCCGGTATATGGCAAAAGGCTCACCCCCTATTACATGGGACTCATAACATAAATAGTGAAAAGTGGGTGTTACATTGTACAGTGGCATAATGTGTACCTCCGCCTACCCCTTTGGGGATAAAAGGCGTGATGTTATGATATTTTATTCGTTTCTGTAAGAAAATACAAAATACGTGTCTAATGATTTAAAACAATCTTCCTCTAGACGGACATTAAAATAAAAATTAGGCATCTACCCTATTATATGCAGTGATTCTATGACTCAGAAAGAAGATCGAAGATGCAAGCGTTTAGGTTAATGAACTATTATCCTCTACAACTTAGGACAGCCATTCTAAATGTAGCTAAATGCATTAGCAAACTTTATACTGTCACAAATTCGGCTTTTCTATAGGTAATTTAATAAGTAAAGTCAATAAATGATTATCAATGATGACGACCACATGGGAGACAGCATTTTTAGCGTTGTCAAGTCCGATGTCAGAAGTCAGGCTATGGAACCTTAACTAGAATGTACTCGTATTAAAGAATCACCTTTTTAGCCAATATTTCCGCTCTCTTGCTAAATTCATCAGAGGCTGAAACTTCAAAAGTCTTTTGCTTATATTTGGACTTCCACTTAATCATGTCTGTTTCTGATTCAGTGCAGTAAAGCATATCAAAATATGGATTTGGACCTCTTCGGTGATGATGGTACCTAAAGATATATAAAATGGCAGATTTGGAGTACGGATTAGAACCAATCTTTATCTTTTCAGTTGTCCTCCTTCTAATTATATTTCATGGTGACAGACCGTCTTCTAAGTTGACTGCCATTTTTACTACATTACTGTTGTGCTGTGTTGTATATTGTAAACCATACCTTATAGTATTATATAGCTCTATCTTTATCAGTTCTTCTACCATATAAACCAAATTGTTTCCAGTGAAGTTTTAGTACAGGTTACACCAATTTTAGTTAGAAAAGGAATGAATTTAATTTACTAAGAAAGATTTTTTAAGGTTACATTGAATAATACACGTAGATTTTTTATTTTGTTTTCTTTTTTTTTCTTTTCTTTTTAAAAAAACGTTGCCCCACACTAGGATTTTCTCCTGTGTCGTGGGTGCATTTACAAACATACAATATCACATACACATGACACCCAGACCCGGAACAACATTCTGTGGATCACACAAAGAGTTGTTCCGTGCGGGAATCGAACCCGCGACACGTTGCGCGGCAGCCAGTTGCCCAACCACCGCGCCAACCGTGCAGTCATTTTAGAAATCCTGAGCACTGATTCGAGTCTTTAACAGTGTACATCTTGATATCGAATGTTTTAAAGTTAGTGTTAAGAAAATCACATTACATTTCCTCTATAGCACTGCCTGGTCGTACGTTCAGGTCGTCATCGGTGGCTGCGAGTGAGTCTGGTAGCGTAAAGGCTGACACTCTCTCGCTCAATTTGTCACTGACAGGTTTCGCCATTACCTTTGACATGAATCTGGAAAAAGATTTTGACAGCATTTTGGATAGTGACTTAGAAACGTGTATTGTTTTGCTTGTTTGCATTGTCCTTTTTTCATCGCTGTGATTAACTGTACTCTCGGTCCAGTCTGATTCTTCTACGAGTTGTGCTGCCTCTTCTTCTTCAACTAAAGGCTCGCCCTCACCCAGAATAGATACGCCAGCTTTCCACGCCATCTGAAAGCAAACGTCGGCAAACAGTATGCGGTATGGGACTTACTGGAATTTAGGAAGTTAGTATTTTGTGAAAATGATTTCGTGCAGGTCTGTATTGCTGAACAATTTTTTTTTTTGTGGCATAAGCCGGTAAACGAGCAGATGGATCACCTGATGGTAAGTAATCGGCGTCGCCCATGGACACCTGGAACACCAGAGGCGTTACAAGTGCGTTACCGGCCTTTTGGGGATTAGGAGTTTGAGGATCGTTGGGGATTCAGGGATTGGGGAGATTGGGGAAGGGGAGGGTAATTGTGCCTCCTAAATGTGTCCTATTACTTACAAATCAGTAAATTTCTATCCGCAATCCTCCTGTACTGTGATTTGTTGCAATTAAATGATAATGAGGTGGTGATCTCATACGAGACCATCACACGAATAAATAATCAAGAAAATTTAAGATTTTTCTATTAAATAAAATTTGTTACTTACTTTTTTAACATAAAAATCTTCGGACTTCGATGGAGTTCCAAATTGATCTTTTGGCTGGTATTGTGAGGTTTCTTCGGGTAGGTCGAAAATTTTGGCAATTCGTTGAAATATAACCGGGCCCACCAATTCACGTACAGTATCACAATTTGTTTCCCAAAACTAAAAATAAATTTACATTCTGTAATGTTAGACTAGCGAAATTATCCCAAAAGGTTTTTTTATTTTCTTTTATACAAAACACTACTACACTGCATTAAGTAGGTACTTACTTAGATCAGACATGAACTTGAATATGAACAACATGAACATGAACATGCAAACTATTTGCACTGCCTACCCTTCTCTGTATAAACATCAGAAACAACTTTACTCAGAGTTATATTAAAGGCTAAATGCCTGTAAGAAGTAGATAGTGAGGTAATTTTTCTTTCAGCACTTGGGGCATTACATGCGCCTTGCTGACCCTTGAAAAACCTATTTACTCCCTTTTTGTTGAAACCCATGTTGTAGCTTATTGGGAAAACCACGACAGGGAGTTCATTCCACAGTCGGAGCGTCAGTATGAGGAAATTTCTCTGAAGCCGAACTGTATGGGACTATTTGGTGCACTACTTAATTGTAGAAGAAGCAATTATTCATATTAAGTATCACCTATGTTGAGAAAGCCAAAGATGTATGTAAGAATGGTTGCAATTGGCGTCTTTGCCTACCTCCATGGGAGACAGGCGTGAGGTTATGTAGGTAGGTACGTATCTATGAATGTAGGTATCACCTGTTCATCTTTGTAGGACATCTCCAATTCTTTGATAACATTTTGCCAATGGACCTTGACGCTATCCAAAGTCTGCTCGTACCGTGACGGAGTAATCATCCTTATCCGCTTTGGTTTGTCCCAATTTTTGACCAGTGGTCGTTTCCCACAAGGCATTGTGAATTAATTTTCAATTTTCCTACTCAAATAAAACCACTAAAAGGAAATTGAATGGCATGGGATACAAAAACATAAAATACGTATTCAAGGAGTAAAATATAAAAATCTTCTTTTATTTCAATGTCAACAAGATCATTCTACGAATAGGAACTTATTTTTTTATTATGTAGATCTATATGGTAGTTCTTATTTGAACTAATGTAACAGAATATTTCACATTAATCTAATAAATTAATAAATTAATCAATACAATAAATAACAGATATAAAAATCAAACCAAGTAATTATTATAAACTAAATACCGGGTTAACGCCATCTAGCGTATTTTTTAAACAGCACGAAGTCAACAGATGAACGAGTGTGTGTGAAAATCGAGGGCGGAAAATGCGCGATAACAAAGTGAGTACGTGCCACTGAAAACACAAACAGTTTGATATGTACAACATAGATGGCGTTACATGTATCATTTAGATAATGTAACATTAAACAATTTGAACAAGTTTTAATAAATAAAGCGAATCCTGAATCAATAATTTTAAGAAGTACGAAATAGTTTTTTTTTATTATTTCGTTTTTCCTAAGCGTTCAGCGTCTTCAATAGTATCGGGTACTTTTTGACCGCGAGTTTCAGGTTGCGTGAGGACTAGAATAGCAGATAAGAATGCTGTACCAGCGAACATAACTGAAGGTATACCAGACCAATAAATCATTAAGGCGGGGGTTAACGGTGCAACAATAGATCCAATGCGACCCAACATTGAAGAAAAACCTAAGAACGAGTGTCTGTACCTTGTGGGATATAGTTCAGCTGTGTAAAGGTACAAAGACGTCATAACCAGACCTATACAGTATTTTCCTATCAAATATAAGATCAAAGACAAAGTGTACATACTTTTAGGAATAAAAGCAAAAGCTAAACAGCAAATTGCACAGATCATGAAACCACAGAACAATGTTGGTCTTCTGCCTACTCTATCTAATACTAAGACCGCTGTCCAGTAGCCGGGGATCTCGATCGCAGCAGTCGCAATATAATTTAAATACATGTTCCCCGTTAGATTAACAGAATTGATCGACAGTCCATAGTAAATAAACACCGTCGTCATCCACATGATGGGCGTCGTACAACATCTCCGTAGTATTATGGGGGACTTGATAACTCTATAGAACAGATTCTCCTGGTTGACCTCTTTATTTTCTTCAATCTGGTTTTGAATAGCAGTCAGTAGAAAGTTCATGTTCTTGTCAGAAATCTGTTTTTTATTCAATCGAGCTGCATATTCTAAAGTGGCCTTTCCTTCTTCTTGCTTATTCTTGCTGAGTAACCAACGGAAACTTTCTGATAATATCCAGTAGTACGATATTATGAGAAATACTGGGATATATAAGACCAGTGTGAGAGTTTTCCATGCAGGAATAGCGAAAGCTAATATGCCTAAAACAACTTGGCCGAGGGCAAACATGCTAGATATAGTAGCGCTCGTTCTTACGCGGTACCCGGGGCCCACTATCTCAGCAGCCAGAATGTAGGCGGCACTGAAAGCGCCTCCACCAATCGCAGTTTGCATGAATTGCAGTGCTGTGTACATCGCGAAATTCACAGAAAACGCGCGAATTACTCCCACTAAAGCAATATTAAACGAAAAGAAAACTATAGACATCCGGCGTCCAAGACGGTCTGAAATGAAGCCAGCCAGCACCAGCGCCACCATTCCTCCAGCACTGTTCAGTGTGCCTGGCAACGCGCGCAGCCATTCTTGACATTCAATGTTGAAATCATACACGATAGTGTTCGTCCTCTCGTAGACATATGCGTCACATGGTACGATTATATCTCTGTCGAATAAGGCGACTGGACAAAGTTCATCCGATGATATCACATCGCTGCTGACGTTTGCGAAACGACGACAGTTATCAAAACCGGATTCTGTTGCGGGTACCGCTTTTAATATCCACTGCGGTGAGTATTCTGGGTTTGGGTCGTCACATTCTGGCACCGCACACCGGGTGGGTAGGCTGCCCGCGGTGAATATGTAGTCTCCCGCCATGAACGCACAAACCAGTGAAGGGAAAGCCAGTAGAGCTATGGTCAGTAGCTGATACTTCCCGAAGTGTCCCACTTCACGATACAACACCGAATCGAACTCCGAGTACGGCTCACGTTCACTGGCTTCTTTCTCCATATTGACAGATTACTGGTGCATATAAAAAAATTCGTCAATATGGTAATCTTAGACACCTTACTGTTTTATATAAGGTGTGATATGATCGTTATCATAGGAGCAAATAAACGTTATCTGCTATCTAGCAATGAGTACGGTTAGACAACAGAATTAATATCGCACACGGCACAATGTAATTTTTCATTTATCTCGTTGTAATTACTTTGTATTAACGAGGCGTTATCGTATGTACCTACACTCGCGTGGTTTCAGGAACTGTTCTTGCGAGACTGCCAATGCATAAACACTGGCATCTTGCCCACGATTCGAACTCAAAGGAATTTCTTTCATAGGTGACGTCTTCAGTCTATAGTAGACCGAGTAGTTATAGAGATTTCACTACAAGTGGGTGACCTTGTACATACATGATTGTAGGTAGAGATATATATTTGCATATTATATACATGCGTCCTTAAGATTATGCTGTAGGTAATTACTCATACCTTATCAATACTGATAAAATGTACCGTGCGGTACTTAATTGTTTTGTTTATTTATTTTATTCTCTGTAGTTTTACAGTTTCAGCATACTCTAATATTTATTTTTGTGCCAACTGCGTTTAAAATATGTTTGCAAATATGTCTATACAGACGTTTGTAGATGAACTAATTCCAGTCCGTGAAATTTCTTCAATAGAATTTCAACCTTATGCTTTTCAATTATAGTCGAAAATTGATTGTATAAAAATTTACAGAATGGAGAAGTTTGATGTCCTGTTATCTGTACATAATTGAACAAGCAAAATATGTTCTTTGGAATAATGAAATATATAGAAAAAGTGCAAATATTGTAAGGACAGTCATAAATTTATTTTTAGCAACAGAACAAATTAATGTAGATAACAAGTTTCTAATAAATTTCCTATCACCTGTAGCGATAGTTTCAGCTAGTTGGCCTAATATAATTAATACCGATCGATAGATATCATGAAGTAGTTGTAGAACATAGTGATGTGATAAGAATCAATATAATCCTGCGTATCGATTTTAATCTTTCTATTCGGATTCAATCGAATCTGAAACTCGTGTTCGGATATTTTCTATGGGTTCTGGTGGCTCATGTGGAGATCCTATGGGTGGTGTGATCTGGTACTCAGATTCGAAAGTGAGCCTTGCGTCTAGCACTGCAGGGTCGAAGAGACCAAGGCTTGTCAAGTATGGTGGTCGACGATGTTCTGGGTGATGGATCATCCAACGACAATACTCCTTCACACTCCTGAAATAATTGTTAAAAAACTATGATCTTAAAATGTTACTTGTAAATAAATATGAGTTTTAATATAAAGTTAGTTTCCTACTTAATTGTTGTCTATTGGTCTACTGTATTTATTCTAAGCGGAAAATCGTTTATTTTTTGGATAACGTGGGAAACGATTGTGAAATTCGTTTCTGTGACGATGTTGTAGGCCATGAAAAAGAGAAATCTCTGATAGGATATTACAACATCTTCGTTCGACACGCTGATAATAATGATAACAATTACCTAAGGACTGTCGGTAGTCGAGTGGTAGCAAGATACTACCAAGCATTACCGACGCGACCGTGGGTGCCAGACTATGTATTATTGTGATTTTCTCATTCCGAGAGATTCATTGGGTGCATTGTTAAGGAAGAGGCTGCTAAGGGATCGAAGCCTCGACACGTTGCACTTCAGTTGGTTGTTAGTAGTCTAACCATAAAGTCAAAGTAACTTGTATGCACGGTTACACAACGACCTATACAAAACCAGTTTATAATGTCAAATCATCACACCTTTTTAACCCCGAAGGGGTAGGCAGAGGTGCACATTACGACAATTAATGCCACTGTACAATGTAAGGCGCACTTTTCACTATTTATGTTATGAGTCCCATGTAAGTAAAGGATGAGCCTATTACCATATACCGGGCACATTACCGGATTCTGTACTACTACTGAGATTTCTTTTTGTAAAAACCCAGTAATATTGCTCAAAACGGGATTCGAACCCGAGACCCCTTGCCGAGTCGCACATGCGAGCACTCGGCTAACGAAGCAGGCTATCATGTTCTCGCTTCTATCTCTATATTGCCATATATTCGACGAACTTTATACTGGTGTTACATGGCGTGGCTAATGTAGGCGTGTGTAATTATAAAATGCGTCATTACATACTATATCTATCATTACCTAAGATTGGTAATTCCTTCCCAAACAGTTTTAAGTGTGACGAGTTCTTTGGGCACATGTCGGGTTGATCTCCATTGTTTCTTGGTGTTGTTCTGTGGCGGATGGTACTGCGTGGGCATCGGCAGGCTCTGGGTAAATGCCTTGAGGTTTGGAGTACGATGTTCAGCTTTAATGTCCTTCGTGATCTCACGATTCAATGTCGCGTAACGGGATAACTGTGGGGTTATATGAGAATTTGAGTATTTTTGCCAAAAATACCTGTTATATTTTTAAAATAAATAAAAAAGATATCATGTGAAACTTTAATTGAGACGACTTAATGCCGATGTCGATTGTGTGTCAAGATTGAATTTGGACACAAACTTCATTCAAATAATGTCTAAAATCGATGAATATCCACAGAATATGGATATGATCGGTTGTTGAAATCAGCCGTTATTCTGTCATTTAACGTCTAGAAGTAATGATAATAAAAAAGCGGTAAATAATGCTTTTAACTTTGACGTTGTATCACCCCTCAAATAACTTTCTTTTATAACTATAAATTAGACATTTACATACCTACGCCACTGATACAATGGGACACGTTTATATAAGTGACCGCAACGGCCAGTCAGTTAATGCATTAATGGGTTTTTGTCGGGTTTTCAAAACATGTACAAAATATTACCGTAGGATTTCCCGTAACGTTGGCGATTTTATCTTCGACACACGGCAGTTCTTTGGGCACCACGCTCAGACTCTGCGCTACGTGAGTGTCAAATTCTATCTGGAAGAACAAAAGTTTTATATTACAGAATTATTTTAAAAAATACCCCGTGGACATACGCTCGAATACTGAAAGGGTACTCCATTTTCAGTTGTACTTAAATATCGTGCCATCTCTGTAATTTTAGTTAGAATTTGTAGTGACAGAACTATAGTCTGAAGCTACGTTTAAAAAGTACAGTACCTACATTTATTCGTTTTAATTTCAGTCTTTATGAAGCAACTCATATATTTTCTCAATAAAATAAGCCTATATTTAATACAAAGCGTTACCTAGTAGCCAATAAAATTATTGATTACCTAATTAAATAATATTAACAATGACTTACTTGAAACAATTCCTTGATAGCCTTAGGTGTAAACAGCTTCGACTGCTGATCCCCTCCCAGTTGTTTCATGTATTCACAAAATTCATTGGCAATCTAAATAGAAACAGTTAATTTTAACCATACGTAGGCTACATCTTTACAGATATAAGAAAATATATTGTCGTCACATCACATAACTCTGTAATAATACTGAAGTATTTTTGAAAAACTGATAATATGTAAATGTCACTTTGCGCAAACCAGGAATCGAATCTGAAATCATTGCCTCGGTAGTCTCACTTGCGACCGCTCAACCAACGAGACAGTCGTTTTACTAGCTTTTATTTCAAACTTGCATAAAGTCAGTAACAAGCTTTTTTTTTTTTTTTTTTTTTTTTTATGGGGGGAAATCCTCATGGACTGCCTCCGCCTGGGGAAAGGCGGAGGGGTGTGCCGGACTCTTACCGGCTAAAACCACCCCAGTGCCTCCTCGCACGTGCGTGCGGGGCCGCGGGAGTCCAAATTCATCCGCAGCCCCGCATTACAGTGCCGGCCCGTAAATCAGGGCCCCGTCACCTGCACGGAGCAGTGCACCACGTGCATCGCCTCAAAGGCGTACGCCGACACCCGCGCGCGCCTTCGACTCGGGTCTATCGATTCGGGGGCGGGGACTTCCCCAAGTCCTTCGCCCCTGGACCCATTCATGGGGGCCGGAAGAGGGCGTTGTCGGCCCTTCTCCTACGCCCGGTGCGCCTTCTGCGGTTGGGAAAGGAAGTCAGTAAGATCTCCCTCTCCCGTTCCGCAGTTTCCTTCTGCGACATCACATCCTCGCAGAAAGACACCACCGCGTCCCACGACTCTGCGCTGTCCACCATCTTCCGCACTACGGCCGGCAGCGACAGATCGCTTCCTACTTCATTTCTGAGGACACGGCGCTGCTCCTCCCAAGCTACACACTCGGCGAGCGTGTGTTGCGCCGTGTCCTCCCCGCAAAGTCAGTAACAAGCTAACGCAAGTACAAAGTTCGAATGACATTAGCATTAGTATGTGACGCTTCTCTTTCGTTCTATTTCCAAACTTTACTATAAAGAACTAACTATGCGCAGCAGGCATATCAACTAACACATCGAAAATCGGTGCATGTGATTATGGGCCCCGACATATATAAATTAACCTGATTAATGTCTGTGAACATATTCTTACTCTTGATTTTTTTTTCTCTCTTGATATGGTCTCTATGGCACAAATTAACTTCCTCTCTAATCACCCCAATCCTTGAATCCTTAACAATCCTCAAACTCCTAATCGCTAAAAAGCCGGTGACGTACTTGTAACACCTCTGGTGTTTCGAATATCCATAGGCGGCGCCGATTGCTTACCATCAGGTGATCTGTCTGTTCGTTTACCGGCTTATACCATAAAAAATACAAAACCCTACAAATAAATAAATAAACAAAAACTTACTCTGTCAGTAAGATCATCAGCCTTCTTGACTAGGCTTTTTTCGTCTTCCTTTTCAGGCTGTAAGTACCGGGTCGGCCATGTAATCTGTTCCCGAACTGGTTTGTTTAACATGTCCAGATAAATATTCGGCTTCTCTTCTTCATCGTCACTGAAAACATATATTATATTATTTAAAACAATTCAGTTTTTAGCAAAGATTATACAAATATACACGTTTAAAATGTCATAACATAACCCTTCTGTTATGTAGAGTTGCACATATTAATTGCAACACAATTTGTTTACCACTTATGACTCACATGCAATTCCAGACTCCGTATCTGAGAAAGTTTTGGAATTAAAATAACTCAAGTAATATTATGCGCCAATCGACTTTGAAATACCTTATTCGATTTGATTCGATTAACGTGACAATCGTACAAATCATACAGTAACGTTAATTTAAAGGTTTATCCTTTAACTTAATGAAAATAGAGAAACTTTTTCGCGGTAACATGTATCAACCGT